ATACAATTTAACATCAGTAAGAGTCCCTGGTGGCGAAAACAGTTATGCACTCTACCAGCTGAAAGGCCAGCGTTGAGAACCCACCCACAGCCTCGAGAACCTTCTGAGACAGTTCTACTCTGCACACATGGGGTCACCACGAGTTGGAAAAGACTCGATGGCAACTGTCAACATCATTGTAAAAAGGTCCAGCTATGTTAAAATTTTTTGTTAAAAGTTTGGAAATACATGAGTTATTAGAAAAAAATACCCACAAGCCTACTGCTCTATTTTTTAAAACTTCTGTGGTTATTTTCCTTATTAAAAGACCACTTTTAAAAAAATCACTCAAAGGTGAAGAAAGGAACAATGAGAAACTGGGAATACGGCACTTGACTGTGGGCCCATGGGGCCTTGCCAGACCATGGGTGGGCAGGCACAGTCATGGGCACAAGCAGTCAGCCGGGCAGGCCTGGGCCCCTCTGCCTGCTGCCCACTGGGAATACCCCCCACAACAGGGCAGCTGCAGCCAGTCTCCAGAGGCCCAGCTCCAGGCCCTGTGGGGTTCCAGCATCTAGAACCATCTCCTCAGCAACACTGCCTGCTATCATTCTCCTGGATATTCTTTGGGCCATAAGGACTGGTTAGAGACCCCCTGAAAAGATCTGGGAGGAAGGCAGAGCAGGACATAGAAGCCCACCAGCAGGATACCTCATGGTGCACCCACCTTCCCTCCCAGTCCCATTCCAGCTCAAGTCAGAAAAGGAATATAGCCTTTTTATTGACTACTTTAAGTAGAACAAACTAAATACATATTTAACAGTTTTGGTTCATTTATACAGTACATTAAATAAGTTATGCACAGAGTTAAGTAATAAAAGTTCCTATCAGAATAAAATGAAAAAAGCACAAAAACCAGACTGTAATGCACCCTGTGCATGGTTTCACATTCATCATCCCCCTTTAAAAACCACGCTTGGAGGCTTAGGTTTCTGTTTATTTACATTCTCGACTTTCTTTCATGGATGGAGCCTTGTAGCCTCATCAAAAACTTGGAAAGCTGCGGAAGTGGACCGAAGGCCTGTTAGGCCAAACAGCCCTTTCAGCCATTTACCTAATGCTTATTGCTGCTTCTCTGCTGACAGATGCCAGCGCACGTGTCCTATTTGGTATAAGCATCAAGAGTGTACACTGGGCAGTTGTAGGCCTGACAAGATGGGGCCTGCAGGAGGAGCTCCATCTCTGGGGCTGTGGAGAGGGAAGGGGGCTGCACAAATCACACCCTCAGGCCTCCCAACCTTCTCCTGGATGCTGGTGGAAAAGGTCACCTATACCACCGTCTTTGGAAATGAGCATGTTAATGCATGTGAGCAGTTAGTCAACATTTTGGTTTCACAAGAACCAGACACTCAGAGCTGGAAGGGCCCTCCCTACTCGGCAGCCCGCCCAGTACCCCACCCCAACCCGGGTAGGACTCCTCTGACAGCTGGCCACCTGGATCAGGCTGGAACAGTCCAGGTTCCTCAGGATTTTCTTACATTTGGTTCAAACACACCACCAACCAGTTCTCTGTAAATAGCCTAACATAATCTGTAAGAAAATTGGCTTGGTCTACTGACCTGGGAGCCTGGAAACCTTAATTCTAGCACAGTTCTGAAGAAAGCCTCCAAGTGTGTTCTACTGAAAAAGATTTATTCAATCCACATCCCTTCAGTTTCCAGGGCAAATGGCCACCTGGTCATCATTCATGCTTCCATTCTGGAGAACTACCACAAAATAATTCCAACTGTGTTGTTGAAACTTCAAACCCACTTACTGAGCTATCTTCTGGTGCTACCCAGAACAAAGTCTACACCCTCTGAAAGATCGTCATGGAGCTGGAGGATCAGGTCAGCTTTGAGACAGGGCTGTACAAAGCTAAGTGACGACTTTTCATCTAGAAACTGAAGATGCTCAGTTGACAACCAGAAGTGAGGAGCAACCAGCCCAGATGGGCAAAGGATATCCACCTTGCAGAGGGCAGCAGTCTGCCCAGCCATAGACCCTTGGTGGGTAGCTGCGTCCTGTTTCCAGACTTCATCCATGGGACCCAGGGACGGATGGGAGGCATTCATGACTCAGCACTGTCCTAGAAAAGATCCACCCATCTGTGATCTCAGGTCACAGGACTATGCCTGAGATCTGCTGGAGCCCCAGTCCTGGAGCTGCAGGGACCCTCCAAGGTGGAGTGCTCAACCCTCACAAAGGGGGCTGCCTACTCTTGAGCAGATGTGCTTAAATGACTTCTTGAGAGTCATCTTCACCCACCGGATGGATTCAGGCATGGTATAGGCCAGTGGGGACCCAAAGGACCACCAAAGTCATGATGACCCTGCCCTCAAGTATCTCTCAGAACATGTAAGGATAGGTCTCGTTTTGGTGACCCTTTGGTCTGAGCCCCTGCGTGCACAGATGGTTAAGAACTTGGCTATTAACCAAAAGGCTAGTGGTTTGAACCCACCCAGGTATCTCAGAAGAAAGGCCTGGCAATCTACTTTTGAAAGCCATTGAAAACCCTACGGAGTACAGTTTTACTCTGAAACACATAGGGTCACCATGAGTCAGAATTAACTGCAACTTTTTTTTTTCTCCTCTCCTTTTTTGGTCTTCTCTGGTTCCTGTAACCATTCCTTATTTGGCAGAGGGCCATGATATCCTATCACCTACCTCATCCACTAGAGATGCTGATTTTTAGGATATCATTGAAGAGCCTGTGATTGACCTGACAGTACTTTCAGTAACACCATCCTGAGCCCCTCTGTCTTTTTTGTCCCCCTAAATAAACTGCCAAGCCTAGTCCTCTAATGAGCCTGAATATATTAACATTAAAATGTTTTCTTCTGAATCTAACCATAGACAAGTGAGGAGCCTGAACTTCCAGCCCCAAGCTGGTAGCTGAGGTGGTGTCAGCCAAGGCTGGGAACCAAGTGGGGAACCTGGACTTACTCGGCTCCTCCAGTGTGCCCCTCCTCACTCAGGCCATGCTCCTCATGCCTCCCAGATAGCTGGGGGACAATTTCCAAAAGGAGTTAGAGAAAGTGATTCTTTAAATCTGAATAGCAACCCCCATGTGAAAATGACCAGAATTAACAGAGCAGAAGATTTGAGAACTGAACTACAGTGTGTAATACACCCAGGTTTTCAGATTGGCCTCTGGGTAGCACACAAGCAAAGTGGACTCCTTCAAAGACTCTGAAAAACAGTCATTGGAACCAGAGCCCACAAAAGCAGGCCAGGACCCACATACTAAATCCAAACCTTAACTGTGGAAACTGATTGTAAGCCCTGGTAAATATTATTTTGTTGGTTTTGGCTCTTCAGTCCAACCATTAAAAACCAGAGCTATCCTGGCTACTCTTGTGGCCACTGGAGATTTAAAAAAACCTGCCTAGGTGTTCATCCAACTGGTGTTACCGATGAAAGCACAGTGAGCCAAGGAGAGACCCATGAACACCAGGAGATACCTTCTTGCTCTAACTGATTTACAGGCTCCACAACTGCTTCAAGGTGATCAGCAGACATCCCATGTCTTAAGGAAACGTAGGCATGTCTGCTGGAGGCTCAAAGGCAGAAAGAGGATCAAGGTCCTTGGGTTCCCAACAAAACCTGTACTGTCAGGGAAGAGTAAGTGTTGCAGTTCCCAACATTTTAAGAAAGGGCTAGGCAATGTCACACTTGGGTATGAGGAGTGCCAGTTAAACAGCTGGAAAACTCCCTGACGACAGATTGGTCAGACTCTCCCAAAATGGTTCTCACATTTCACAAAAACTCTTCTCAGCCAAAAGAGGGAAGGTATTAAACAAGAGAAGGGACTGAGATTGTATGCCTAACAGTAACCAATGGTTGGCTGTTAAATGGACATAGTATGTCTGACACAAAGCTATGGGGTCTGCAGAACTCTTTCGGGTCCAGGAGGGTTGCTCAGATGTGATTAGGCCTTGATGGGTGGGGCAAGTCCTGCCAACACACCACATCACATCCTGTGGGGCCACTGTAGCTCAACAGGCACCAAACAGACCACAAGAAGATCCACAGTGATCTGGACATGCGCCATCGGAGAGATAAAAGGACACAGAACAAGACGACTGTGCAAACAGTCAAGCGCTGACAAAGATTCTGTATTTCCAATAGATGATCCATTCAATAATGTGACGGTACTAGTTTGGCCAACATGCTCAGAAATAACAGACTATCCACAATTGAGTCTCATTCTCAGACCAATCCATGCGCTGGAAATGATTTTCTGCACAAGCAAAATCAAATGAGAGGAAAAAAAAACACCAGGTCTCAAACTAAAGCAGCCAGCTGATCTGCAAGGTCTTGTCCAAAACGATCTGTGACACTTGGTGGAAGTTTATTTATTTTTTGTTACTAAAGGTGATTTTACTGAAATGGTGACTTCTTTCCCGTTGTTTCTGAGACTCTAAGTCTGAACCAGCAGGGCTGAGGAGGGAGCCCTGAATGCTGCTTTTTGCCTGCCCGAGTCCCTGTGAAGCCAATCAGTGTCATCTGCTGCGGGTGGAAAGAGGGCTTGAGGAAGAGTTCAGGGTGAGAGGGGACCTTCCTTGCCCGGGGGCACTCCCTTCACGGCCTGCTGTCAGCCTCCGGGCTACGTGAGGACAGTGGATAGAGAAGGAAACGGTGCACAGGTGAGCCACCTCCAGCCTGGCTGGGCACATCAGAGTCTGCTGCTTCAAGGAGGCAGGGAGAGGAGCTGGTGGTCTACACTGAAAAGGAGCTGGCTACGTCAGCTTCAGCTGGGAGAGGAATAAACCAGGAAAGCCACGGGGCAGGTGGCTCAAGCCAGCTGCCTGTGTGCAGAGAATGGCACTACCGTAACACCAAGGATACAGACGGCTGATGGGGAACTGGGGCAAGTGCCCAGAGAGGCTTATAGTTTTCCGGCCTCAAGTTCACTTCTTGCTGATGGCCCAACAGCTACTTGTGCTGGTTCAAACAGCCCCCCACCCCACCCCCCGGTTCAACAAGCGTTTTGTCTAGCTGAGAGGTCATCAGGATTAAGTGGAGTCTGGGGCTCAGAGCCCACTGGTGTCGATGGCTGTCACGGAGGCAGGAGTTGAGGAGCGTGAGGTGGTTGCTGAAGTCTTGTCCAGGGCTGGGCTTGGCACACTGCAGTCAGCCGACCTGGCTGAGGTGCCCCTCCCTCCAGGAAGCAGTGGCCGGCTCTGGCTGTGAGGACTCTGGCCGTGCAGGTTCTGGCCACAGAGGCGGTGGTGCCGCTCCCAGTCCTTGTGCTGACAGAAAGAGCCACAATATCGTGCAATATTGCAGCCACTGCACGTTTCGCTGGCTTTGCGGCCACAGTTCCAGCAGTTCTGCAAGATACAGGCATCAATTAGGGGTTGCCTGGATCGTGGAGGGCAGACCTGTCACCACTAGCAGAATGGGGGGTGGTATGGGGAGAGCACGGGCTTTGGATTTGGAGCTACACATCCCTGTGGTTGAGTCCTACCTCTACTGCTATCTGTTCAGCAGTAGGAAATACACACCCTTTTCTGAGTTCCCTTCATCTGTAAATCAGGAAAGCTACCTGCCAGCAGGATGACAGGAAGAGTGAGATGAGGGGATGCGTGTGAAAATACCTCACATGATACCAGCACAAGCAGGTGGCAGTCCCCATCTCCTGTTTAAGGCACAGGCTCATTTTTTGGACTCATATTTTAATCCTCAGTGACCAAACTAAACTCTGTTCAAGGGTCTGCGTGGCTCTCTAAGAACACACACCTACATATGTTTACAGAGAATCGAGTTCTCCCTTGCTCCTCCCAATGAAAAGATCTGCATTGTTTTTACTAACAATACCTGACGTTTTAACAAAGACTTTTAAAGGAGTGGAGGGCAATAACCAATCTTTTAAAAAAGTCGCCTGCCAGAGAGCCAGCATGGGTGACTAGGAGTGGGTAACTAGGACTACCCTTTGTCTTCTACGCCCATTTTCCTCTTAATGACGTGGCTAATCATAGGTGGGCTGGGGATCATGGGACTATTCCTCTGGCTTGTGAACAAGAGCCACCTGCAATACCTCAGAATCCAGGGCCCCTGAGGTCTAGGTCAGGGAGTTTTCTTACTGCTTGTACTTTCCTAGAAGGAGGGCGGGTATTGCTAAAGTTCAGCAGAAACCACCGGGGGAAAGAACAGAGCACCATTTGGGAGTGCACTAATTCTATTGAGGAAGACATGAGCCAAGTGAGCTTGGCTAGAGTGGGAAGTAGCAGCCATGAAAGAAGCAGCAGAAACAATCAAATTGAGCAGACAACTTTACATTTTCCCCAATCAACTAGGAAGGAAGAACAGCATCATAAAGAAGGCAGCCACCAAGCTTTCGGAGGTGTCAGGCCAAGACGAGGGCTTTCCTGGGTGTCAAAAAGGACTTCAGCAGCCGGCCTGCTGCCCCGCCCACCACTCCAGAATGGCAGAAGTCAGTCACCAGGCTGGCTGTAGTCCCGTCAGGAAAGAAACCATCCCACACTGAAACCAGGACACTTGTTCTCAAGTAGAAAACAACAGCTGACGAGCACTGACAGGACCTTGGGGCCACCAGCCCACCTTCTGTATTGTACAGATGGGAAAACTGAAGGCCTGAGGGGCAGGGACTTACCAGAGGTTATAAAATGATTACGCGGCTATGCAAAGTATGGAACCCAGACCCCCTGACTCCACTATACCCAATGTACAAATTTAGTTTCAAAGAGCATTAAAAAGATTGCAGATTCCCTTCTAACACAACAGGATCCTTAGGAAATATACTCTAGGGGCTGTTCAAACTTGCCAACACCAGCACAAGGACCAAAGGAGTGAAGAGACGGACTCTTAGGCTACATTTATAGATCCTCAAGCAAACTTTATTCCAGAGAATTTCATACTCTGGAGTCTGATAAGCTGACTTCAAACAATGCTTTGGCAGAATATTTCCACTTGGGGGGAAGAACTCACTTGTTGCCTACAAGAGGGCAGTGGAAACACAGGGCAATGGGGCTGCCGTCAACTGAATGGGAGGGCCCCAACTCCCTCTGTAAAGTCTGCAAGAACATCTCAGGACGAGGTCAGAGTATTAAACCACCGGCCCTTTCACCTTAGCTGCTATTATTTTTTCAAATAGCATTATTTCATGATTTATGAGATGCAATAAAACAAAAATAAACAGTCTCCCAGAGGGGCAGGATCATAGAAATGCAAGAACAATGTGGTTAGTGTCAGAGCAGCCAGGAGTGGAAAGGGCAGTTTCACATTCTCTTTCTCTTTAGCTTTTCCATGACTCAGCTGTGAGGCTTTTTGCCAAGACATAAGACAAAAGCCTTATTGTTGCAGTCACCCTTCAAATCAGCATTCCTCAAAGCTGGAGAGACAGATACAGAGCTAAACAGTCCTCTGAAGTTATTGGAAGATGGTTATAAACCTTCTGAGTTACTGGCCAGGGAAGTCAGAAATGTGATTCCAGAATTTCCTTTGTCAAGCATGGGCCATCAGTTTAGTCCAACATTACTCCCAGTGTGGCCTGGCACTGAATGAAGCAGAATTACCTGGGGCTTGTCAAAACCCCTGAGGCCCACTCCAGATGTCCCTGACCTTATCGCAAAACTGGCCCAAAGGAGAAATGACTTCCCATTTCACAAGCAATTGGTAGGCCACTGTTTGCCTGAAAATCCAGGCTGGGAACAGAACATCCCTGTGGTGGGGATAAGGGGACCTCTCACTTCATCCCTACACCATTGGGCATTACAGGGGAGATGCTTTGATCTGGCCGAGAAGGAGCTTATATGTCAATTAACAACATAGTAACAGAATCCTTTCTATCTGCACAGTGCATGGCAGTTTCAAAGCTCTTCCACCACCATGATCTAGTTTTATCTTCATAATAAAGGTGAGACCAGCTACACCCACTGCACAAAGAAAACTGACTCCTGAGGGCACACTGCCAGTATGGAGGCTCCTTCCCCTATACCAAACCACCTCTCCAAGATGAAGGAGAAACTCTAGGGATATCTGCTAAGACTTCAAGCAGAATTTTCTAGATGAAAATTGCCCTTCTGGTCTAAGCGCAAACTCACCCAAAGCCTAGGCCTCGCCATCCCTTCTGTTTTGGGAAGTGAGTTTGCTGGCATGGGTGCTGATGTGCTCCTCACCTGCAGGCCACTTTGTGCTTTGCTTAAGAGTATGTAGACACACTGCTGTTCAAAAACAATTCTAAAGTAGGAGGGGGAAAGAAAAGGGAAGGGGCTGAAGGATTTTCTCACAATTCATTCTGTCTTTGTTGGAGTGCTACAAAAAGGAATTTTACCATATCTTCTGCGATGGCCAGGTGATATTTAGGCATTTTCACCTTCACATTGCCATGCTTGGTGTTGCTATATTGAGGTGGATCATACTGATGTAAGAAAATAAAATTTCTGTTGCTTGTTTTAAGAAAAAAAATAAAATTACAGTTCTTTCACTTCAAGGAAATGTCCCAAAGACAGCTAATCTCTCAACCAGTAGGTGGGATCTACCTACTTACCGGAAGAGGTTTGCTTCAGGACTTAAAGTTTACCTAAAAGCTGGACTCAAATCAGAGTTACAGGAAAATTTCATTGAATTCAAAAGGACTGCTGACCTATTACAATGTTTTGTCATACACTTTTTTCTTTTCAGTTTTCTTATTTTTATAGTCATCGTGATACATGAGTGTCCTGTATAGAAGCATCACTAAATCCTGGGCCCAGGGTTTTGAACAGCTGGGAAGGTGTACCAGATCTGTCAGTTCAGTTCACAAACTATCCTATTTGTAAATGCTATATATAGGACCCTGCATTTCCTTACTCCTTACCCTGACCTCAGGACTGCAGGACTATGTTGGTTATAGTCCCGAAACCAGAATTTCCTCATCTGTAAACTAGGGATCAGCAGGACCTACCTCACAGCCTCACTGGGAAGACCAAAAAGACATTACACACACCTTGCTCAGTGTCTGGCACACAATAAACCCACTCAGTCAATGTTGGGCCTCACTATCATGCTATTGTACAAACTGTCTTTAGGATGATTTTCAAAATTTAAATCAATTAATGAGAAGAATATAAGGTAATAACTTACTATTCTAGTATGCAAGAGACCCAGAAACCAGAATGCAATTAGAGAGAATGTTATGTTGTAAAAAAGTCACTAAGCAATTTGTGTAGAAATTGTCAAACGCAAACCTAATTTGCTATGTAAACTTTCACCAAAAAAGCAGGAAAGTGTTGTTATTGAAAAAAAAAAAAAAGCCCTACAGTAAGAAACAAGACTCTGGTACTAGATAAAAATTATACTCATCTAGTTCAAGACTAGACAGTTTGTGTCTTACTGCCCAACACCTGAGAAGCAAGCAGTGGGCCTGGTCACTCCGGCTTCCCCAGCCCAGACACCAGGGCCTAATAAGAGTCTGACCTCCGTTGACTCCTCTTGCTCATTTATGACGAGGAAGGCATCCTCTGCAGCCTGCCGTTTGACGTCTGCTATGGTTTGCTCCATTCGAGCTCTCTCTGTTGCAATCACCTCAAAGGCTTTTTGCTCTGCTTCAGCGACGGCCTTCTGTACTTCTGACATGGCCTGAATTTTCACCTTATTCACAGCTTCTTCTAGAAGAAAGTGACAGTATAATCAACTGGCCGAGAAATCTTCTCCCTCTCATCCCATTTCATTTCTATGAAGGGACAGAGCTGAGAACAAGATAAGTAAAAATACACAAGGATGAACACATGATACATGCATTCATTTTGATTCCTATACTCGCTGTCTGTTCATGTAATCATTTGTTGGGTATGTAGGTGGAGTTGGGACACACACTTGAAAAAGATGTAGTCCATACTGTCATTAACTGTTTATGACCAAGTATAAAGGTAGCTTAGATACCCTGATATGTTATCAGTGTAAGAGACAAGAATTCCACAGGGAAAAGTGATCTGCTCTACTAGGGTCAGGGGAAGATCAAGAAAATGTGTTCTCGTTGAGAGCACAGGTGGAAATGAGTTTGTGGAAGGTCTTCCATGCCATGCTAAGGAATTTGGCCCTTTTTTCCCCCCACTTAAGAAAATAGGAAGCTCCTACAGGGCTCTATGTTCTGTAGAGGACCTGAATTTAAGCAGTAGCAACTGGAACATAGGAGGGCTATTGTGAATAATGCTGCAATAAACACCGGCATGCAAGTATCTGTTTGAGTTCCTGCTTTCAATTCTTTTGGGTATTACCTAGGAGAGAAATTTGCTGGATCATATGCTAATTCTATACTTAACTTTTTGAGGAACTGCCAAACTGTTTTAGACAGTGGCTGCAGCATTTTACATTCCTACCAGCAATGAATGACGGTTCCAATTTCTCCACATGATCAACAACACTTGTTATTTTCTGTTTTCCTTTCTTTTTTGTTTGTGATAGCCATCCTAGTGAGTGTGAAGTGGTACCTTATTGTGGTTTTGATTTGAATCTCCCTCTGAGGTACATTCTATCCTCTCTCTCAGTTTAAGGATAAATCAACTGAAAATCATACTTTGGGTAACTCCCTTGTGGGCACTGTAGCAGAGCAAGGACTCAACCTAGCTGCCCAAAGTTACCAAAGGTACCTCCCAAATAAACAAAGTCACCAGACCCTTCTTACAAAGAGAAGTGAGTGACCTCGACAAACCTTGGCCCATATTGCTTATTGCGTGGTTCCTTTCCCCCCTCCACCTTGGGCTTCCAAGATGAGAAGGCAGAGAATCCTACAACCCATCTTAGTATAATCATAGAGAGACATCAAAGAACAGACTTACCCTAAGGAAGCAAAACCTGCACTCCCCTCACTCTTTTCATGACAAATGTAAATGGGAGGAAATAGTTCCTAAGTGCAACATTCCCCCCACCCCTCCGATAGTTTGCCTTGAGGATTTTATTGGACTGTGACCAGCAGTTAGTTTTCCTCCTTTGCATGTATGTGGGTGGAGACATTGGGAACACAGGACAGTTCCCAGCTCATCCATATCAGAAATCACCTGTAGAGGACATTAAAAATGTAGGCTCAGGAGCTGCAAAAAGCTATTGAACCAGAATCTCTACGGGTGAGCTCAGGAACCTGCTTTGTAAATACACTCCTCTGTGACTCCCAATCACAATAGTCTGACAACTTTCCCTCCTTGAGGCTAGAAGAGGGGCACCAACTTCAAAACTTTCCTGATAGTAATTGTTTGATGCTAGTTACCAAGGGCTTGTGCTCTATACACCTTAACAATTTCTATCTTCGTTTCTCACAATTTTATTCCATTCTTGATAACATAAAATTTCCCATTTCCCACTGCAAAGATTTTTCCAAGTTAATTTTACTGTTAGTTTTCCAAATTAATGTTAGTGTAAAAAAATCTTTTGTTGTGATGTCATCCCATAAATTAACACAGTCATTCGTGGGTATCTGGACATTTTTAAGGTTGCCTCTCGTACCCTAAAAACAGTATCTTTATACTGCTACCTCTTTAACAATTTGTGTGTTTAAGTCTGAATCACTTGCTTTTGGAAGTAAGGATTCAAAAGCATGAAAGGTGAGGAATGATTTGAAGAATTTGCATATACTCACTGTATACTGGTAACACTTAACCATTCAGTATATGAACTTTTGATGAATTATTTATCACCAACAGGGTCTTGTAAAATTGTATCAGTAAACTGGGTGTTAAAGAACCTGGGGGCTAATTTATCAGGGTTGCTTATCTTGAACTTTCCCAATTATCAGTGAGGAAAAACATTCTGCAGTATGTTTAGCATTATATTTCAAATAGCATATCTTTTGTCCACTTGTTTATTATGGTCTTGATGTGCTTCAAAGAGTGTTTATTAATGACAGGTATTAATTTTTGGTAGAAGTAAGTTTTATCTTAGGAAGAAAACAATAAATTGTACTGGACTAAAATACTGTCATTGGGAAGGAGAGTCAAGAGGAAAAGGCAGCTAGTATTTGGATAAGGGTAATATTAGGGGTCTGAGGTTAGCTTATTCTTCCATCTTGTCAGAACAGCAAGTCTCCACCCAGAACATTTTCTTGTAGAAAATCAGGCCCACCCAGAAACAGTCTTGACTAGGCTAGGAACAGTGAAGGTGAAAGGAAGAGGAGAGGGATTAAAGACTGTTCCAAGATCAGAATTTATCAAATATGTTAACTTAGTGAACACGGTGTATGTAGATGCTGGCTAGTGAAGAGATCAGGCAGAAATAAGGTATAAGCCCAGACACAGGCTATATATATCCGAGTCCCTTTCACACCATTCTACTAGATCACACAAAAGCATATATATATGGAAGAGTTGGTTATGTCATTAATGCCTTTGTGTGATCCAGTAGAATGGTGTAAAGGGACTTGGATAGGCTGTAAGGAGGAGCCAATCCAAATTCCTGACCTATCAAGTAGCACGACAGGCAGTCTAGGAGATGTGTAGGACAAGCTGGAGAGGGGAGAGGCAGGAGGCCTAGAGCTCTATGAGGAGGAAGTTACTAGACAACCAAATGACCCAGTTACCAACCTTTCCCCCAAATCTGTGCTCCATGCTCACACAAATTACAGAGTATATACAACTTACCAGCAGATAGATACATACCAGTTTTTTTCCAAAACTCCACAGGTACATATCCTGTTCCTGGTCTACTGCTGAATTCCCGTTGGGAATCTGCAAGAAAGAGAGAAATCGAATAGGGTCAGAACCTGTCTATAATCAGCATGCTTTATTTTTATGAAACAATTTTTATCAGACCTCTCATTTATCACTGAGAAAGATGCAAACATTTATGCTCATTTAGTGCCAAAAATATTCTGACAAAGGATAAAATCAATTTATAAAATAGTACACTCATTAGCTTTAAAAAATACACATATGCATCAAATAATAGCGGTATTGCAAAGTACTTAAATTAAAAGTGATCTTCATTTTCTTCTCTTTACTTATTTGTATGTCTAACTTTTTTCCTATGAACACATACAAATTTCTAAGGTACTTTGCAAAATATATAAATATAACTACATGCAGATACTTAAGTGTATGTGGGTCTCTATCCAATTTAACTGTATCATGCACAGCTCTCTGGCAAGATATGCTCTGTAGATATGTCAGGGGATACAGCTTTTGTTTCTTGGCAACTCTGAAGTTTGTAGTTTCTTAAAATCCTTATAAAATAAACTAAGAAAAAAAAATTAAAAAGCAGGTAGTAGTAAAGAAAATACTTTGATCTGGAACAGTGCATTTCAAAATGTACCCTAAAAAGGCTCCTTAGTGGGTTGCTGAGAAGGGCACAGGGGTAGGGAGTGACCAGCATATGTTTATAGAGATCTTATATATTATTTTATAATAAATGGTTCCACTGCTAAAAAGATTATGAAAACTAATTAGTATAATTTTATGTCAGTGCCAGGGTAATTTATTTTTAGGCTTTTTTAAAACTGTGGTAAAATATACACAAAATTTACCATTTTGACCATTTTTAAAGTACAATTAAGTGACAATTTAGAATAGTCACATGTTGTGTAACAATCAGCACTATCTAGTTCCAGAACATTTTCATCACCCCAAAAGGGACCCTGTACAGAGTAATAATTTTTTTAAAAGGATCTAAGTATGTATATAAGCCATCATCTAGTGTTACATGATGGAAGAATCACTTGTTGACTTGTGGGGAGAGGCGGGGAAGCCTTGGCAGACACTTCACTTTCGTCAGTCAACAATATGTCCTTGGTCATATCCTGTGTACCTGTCAAGTTCTCAGCATTTTATTTCTCTGACAGACGTAAAAGGTGAGATGCACTTGACCCTAAAGGGCCTTCTCAGCTTATTCAGGACATGCCTGGAAGCCAGGGACATTCCCATGGTATTTTTGGAAGTCAGAGTAATTGTTTTTATATTTTTAACCCTGAAAGAGACAGACGTTAGGATTTTCAACTGATTCGCTAAGAAGACTAAAGTCTCAGGGACTACTATAACCAAACACAAATAAATGGGTCACAAATGGGGAGATGAGATGAACTGGCAGTCCGGTGCTATCATTTAGAGCTAAGTTGCCAGATTTTTTAGATTTTACAAGAAAAGATGGAAATTTGGATTTTTTTCCAGAATATTCCAATTTGTACGTGTTAAATAATAAGTTTAAAAAAAAAAAAAACAAAAAACCTCTGGAGACCAAACCAAACACACTTTTTAGCATCAATTTGTGATCTCTGAAAACAAAGAGCAATTGGCTTCTATGCTGGTAATACCGGGAACCTTATTGAATATGGATTAAATCTGTCATGGTGTTAAGAGATGTTGTTAGGTGCTGTTGAGTTGGTTCCAACTCATAGTGACCTTATGTACAACAGAACAAAACACTGCTCAGTCATGTGCCAGCCTCACAACTGTTGCTATGTTTGAGCCCACTGTTGTAGCCACTGTGTCAATCCATCTCATTGAGGGTCTTCCTCTTCTTTGCTGACAGTCTACTTTGCCAAGCATAATGTCCTTCTCCAGGGACTGGTCCCTCTTGATAACATGTCCAAAGTACATGAGACGAAGTCTCATCATCCTCATTTCTAAGGAGCAATCTGCCGTACTGTACTTCTTCCAAGACAGATCTGTTCGCTCTTCTGGCAGTTCATGGTATATTCGATATTCTTCTCCAACACCATAATTCAAAGGCATCAATTCTTCCTCAGTCTTCCTTATTCACTGCCCAGCTTTCACATGCATATGAGAATATTTAAAATACCATGGCTTGGGTTAGGTGCACCTCAGTCCTCAAAGTGACATCTTTACTTTTTAATACTTTAAAGAGGTCTTTTGCAGCAGATGTGCCCAATGTGATACGCTGTCTGATTTCTTGACTGCTGCTTCCATGGGCATCAACTGTGGATCCAAATAAGATGAAATCCTTGACAACTTCAATCTTTTCTCCATTTATCATGATGTTACTTACTGGTCCAGTTATGAGCATTTTTGGTTTTTTTATGTTGAGCTATAATTCATACTGAAGGCTGTAGTCTTTGGTCTTCATCAGTAAGTGCTTCAAGTCCTCTTTGCTTTCAGTAAGCAAGGCTGTTATTATCTGCATATCGTGGGCTGTTAATTAGGCTTCCTCCAATCCTGATGTTGCGTTCTTCTTCATATAGTCCAACTTCTCGTATTATTTGCTCAGCATACAGATTAAATAAGTACGATGAAAGGATAAAACCCTGACACACACCTTTTCTGATTTTAAACCATGTAGTATTCCCCTGTTCTGTTTGAATGACTGCCTCTTGGTCTATGTACAAGTTCTGCGTGTGCACAATTGAATGAACATTTAATTGTGTTAAGAGATAGTTATCTTCTCTCTCAAGTGTGGGAAGTCAAACGTATGTCTTCTGGGAGACTAACCCAGTGCCCATATCTAGCAAGACTTAAGATTTGGTGTCTTATTGAAACAAAACTTCCAAACTTGGATGAGATCCTAAGAGTCAAGCACTAGAGTGAATAGCCAGGAGTAGAGCTACTCAACTTGGAATTGGGCTGTAAGGAAGGGCTAGATGCATAATTGGACAGTCCATGAATGATTTCAGCCATTTTTCTCATTGCAGTGGTTGAGATCAGGAAACCTCAGGTCTTAAGGAGGACAGCATATGATTTCAGGACTTCTAGCTTAGTATTAAGAAAATAATTAACTGATTCAGACCATACCAAGAAAAAAAAGCCTCTCCCCTTTGCCTACTCTTAATACCTCAGTTTGGAGACACTGAGATACCTGAAAGGACAAAATTATGCCACATGTTGAACAAAAATTCTGTGCCTCAGCCAGTGACACAGTATTGTCCAGTTCCTAGTGGATTGAGAGTCTGTCAAATTTTCTCTCTTCTAGAGAGGTCTCATCCCTCTTAGAAGTCGTATGTATCAAAAATGCTCATCAAGGATGCTGAGAAGAGAGGGCTGATGCTTTTTGAACCTTGAGTCCTGAAGCCTACTCTGATTAAGACAGTAGCCTATTGTGGTGCCTGTCTCTTTCCTCAGTGGAAAAAGATGATTTCAAGACAAGAAGCAAGCATCAAAATGTCAAGCCCCAGATCAACATGAACTGATATATCCATTATCTATTGTTGAGTGAAAAAAGCAAGTTACCAGACATATTTAAGAATAATACTGTTTACATTAAACTATATTTAAAAATTCTCTTTAATACAAAACTAACCCTGACTCTTCAAAAATGTCAGTAAGACAAAAAAATGTAGGACACGATTGTAGATTAAAGTAGACTAAAGACATAAAAAGACATGACAACTAAATGAAATGCATGATCCTTGACTGGATCCTAGATTGGCAAGAAAGAAAATTATAAAAACATTATGAGCGATAAGTTCACGTGGGAAAGAATAGTCTTTTTAACAAATGGTGCTGGAACAACTGGATATTCACATGCAAAAGAATGAAACTGGACCCCTACCTCACATCATATATAAAAATTAACTCAAAATGGATCAAAGACCTAGATATAAGAGCTGAAATTACTAAACTCTTAGAAAAAAAATGAGCAAAAATCTTCATGACCTTTGATTAGTTAATGGTTTCTTAGACATAACCAAAAGCGTAAATGACAAAAGAAAAAACAGATAAATTAAACTTCATCAATATTAAAAACTCTTGTGCTTCAAAGGATACAATCAAAGAAGTGAAGACAACCCAAAGAATGGGAGAAACTATTTACAAATAATATATCTGATAAGGGTTTACCATTCAGAATGCATAAAGAACTCTTACAACTGAAAATAGAAAGATAAATACCACAATATATAAACAGGCAAAGGATCTGAAGAAACAGCTCTAAAACAGATACACAGTAAATGATCAATAAGCACATGAAAAGATGCTCAAAATGATCAGCTATCAGGGAAGTGCAAATCAAAACCACAATGAGATACCACTTCATACTCACTAAGATAAAAAAAAACAGAACAAAACAAAAAACCCACTGGAGTTGATTCCGACTCATAGCGACCCACTAAGATAGCTATAATCAAAAAGACAGATAATAACTAAGTGCTGGTGCGTATATGAAGAAATTGGTACCCTCATACACTGCTGGTAGGAATGTAAAATGGTGCAGCTGCTTTTTGTTCCTCAAAACGTTAAAAACAGAGTTACCATCTGACCCAGCAATTCTACTGGAAGATATATATCCAAGAGAAATGAAAACCGGGGCTTCGAGCTGGTTCAGTCACGGCCAATGAAGCGAAGTTGGAACAGACCTGAATTTTAAAAAATTGGGTGAAGTGGAACAATAAGTGGAACGGGAGAAACTACGGGTCAAAGCCCTGGAATGGGAGACTCAGAAGAAGCACAGTGAGCCCTTTCTCAGGAGGCTGATGCAGGAGATTGGATTAATGGCAGGACTGTTGAGAGCAACACACATTCAAAGCAGAGCAGTGGGCCTCCATCTGAGCGGGGCACCACAGCTTCCGACTCTGCGGGTCAAGAAATTTGGTTGCTATGCAATGTGCACACTGCCCTTGTTCAATTTTAAGAGGGAGATTAAGTTTCTAGCAGGGCTTCGACTGGTAGTTTTCCCTGTTCCGCATTTTAAAAATTTGGGCCCTGTTCGGGTTTCACTTTGCTAGCCATGAAGGAACTGGGCACAACCAGTTTGAAGCCCTGCTAAAAGCATTATGTCTACACAA